ATACAAATACTTTATTGTAATAAGAAATTTCTTGTTACAGGGGGTTAGCTTTAGAGAATTACAAAAAATACAATTACTTATTGAAACATATTTTTTTTAAATATCTTGTTACATAAAATTTGCTAAACATAACATATTAGTCATTCAATTTACATATCATATTTCAAATTCTTTAAAATATGAACAAAAAAGTAATGAATATTATACATCTTATACTATGGAATTTTTTCTTGATTGGTTCTGAAGTTTTCTTCTTAATTTAAATCAAAAAACTCTTTTAATTTGAATTTACATTACGCTTCTTCAATCTTTGGACACTCAGTAAGAATATAATAAATGATTTATAAAAATGATTGTAAAGAACAAGTAGAACTTACATACCCGCTGGCAGAAGAAGTTTAATAAATTAGTGGTAATTATATCCATTCCAGGAGCTGTTTTCGTTTTTAATTTACGAATTGATATATCCAGTTCTTCGATAGATATTGGAATATCTAAACTTTCATTGAAAGAAATTTTTTATATCGGCATAAGGAAGACTGTAATTCCTGTAAATCTGTTAATAGAGTTATCCATTTAAAAGAATCTATTTGCATTGATTGATCACAATTGAAACATCGTAATTTCTTAATCGTAAACTTTAAAAGTTCACTGTTTTTATTTTCTAAGATTATTTGTTGAATTTTTTTATAGTAATTTGATTTCTTAGATTTTAATAGATTGAAATACAAATTTTTGGCTTAACGATATTGACTGAATACCGTTGATGTAGATAATTTTTAAACTGAAGTAATGCTTTAATAATTTTCATTCTTAAATTCTTATATCCGGTATAAACTTTCATTATTATTATGTGCTGCAGGCAAGGGACTTAATAATTGAGACTCAACAATACGTAAATCTTGAATAGGAGTGTTTAAATTGATCATATGTCATTGCGGAGTATTCTCAGAAGTAAAATACGGGGTAAAAGAATCCAAGTATACCAGCCCCTCCAACACATGGCTATACGTCAATTATTGCTTTATTATTATTATTATTATTATTATTATATTCTATATTTTTGAAGATATTTTATTGATTATTAAAAATTCAATACTATTGCTTTAAAATATCTTTTTATTAAAATGTGTACTAATCCTAATACCTAAAGAAAATGGGAGATTAAAGTGTGAAGATCACAGAACACTAAGTCTAGTGCCACACTTATCAAAAACCTCACAAGGATAATACCATATTTACTCACATGTAAGATGACCTCACATATAGGACAAGGTGTGACTTAATAATATACCAACTGTACAAAGACAAGTAGCATTAATAGGAGAAAGTAAGAAAAAAACAAGTACAGTAATACCTCGACTTACACGAACCCGGAGTTACGCGATTTTCAAATCTCGTCGATTCATCTTGTCATCTTTTGTTTGAGCGCCACGCAACTGTTGATTATTCACTCCCCTCACACTATTGCTCAGCTTACATGTTCGGACGTGTTGCGCGGAATCGACACATAGCTACAATTTATTTTGTGTTATTTATTTCTGTGTTTGTTATATCTACGGAGACTCGAGAGACTTTATGTGGTGATTTCTTGTAACCGTGAACGAATCAAAAGACGAGATAGGATTAACGAGAACATTTATTAGCTTAAATACATCCCACTTGGAGTTTACACAAATTGTGAAATTATACCCCGACTTACGCGAATTCGACTTACGCGGTCATCGCTCGGTCCCACCTATCGCGTAAGTTCGGGGTATTACTGTATTTTGAAAGGAGTCAGACAGAGATGTTGACTATCACCTACTTTTATTCAACATTTTCAAGAAGCTATGAAGGAATACAAGGAAACTAAACATAAAGGTATAAAGATAAATAGTAAAATCTTCAACACAATATGTTTTGCAGATGACATAGTTCTGGTTGCAAACTGTGAACAAAAGTTGCAGGAGGCATTGAGAGACCTTAATGATGCACTAAACAGCCTTTAGTGCAATAGCCAGATGCAACCTGAAAATAAATCTCATAAAAACAAAAATAATGATTTGTTCAAGAGGAAATAAAACTCATTCTAGAATAACACTAGAGGAGAAAGAATTAGAGAAATTTCAGTTACCTGGAAAGCCTCATAATATTTGACAGATTTGAAAAATATGTTACATTGAGAATTGCACAAGGAAAGGAAGTGTTCTACAGAATGAAAGGAATGCTAACATCATAGAATATCTCTATGGATGTGAAGAGAAAACTCATCAAAAGTTATGTTTGCAGAGTGACCCTATATGACTCAAACATGGACATTGAATGAAAAAAAGAGGCCTTTGAAATGTGGTGCTGGAGAAGAATGGTGAAAGTAGCTTGGATTGAAAAATTGATCAATGAGCAGCTTTTAGAGAGAGCAGGGCTGTGTTCAGTAATGCAGAATTCTAGCTAAGTTTAGTTATGCTGTGATGAACTCGTTTTTAACTACTGCTTGACTCCTCCCACCACTAGAATTCTAGCTAGTTCAGTCAGCTTCTTTTATCTACACTAACTTCTACTAGTGACGTCATTGTTTTTGTCTCATCGTACAATTTGCAAGATGGCTGCACATTGGATTAAACGTATTTTATTATAACCATCATAAAGTTATTCTCTCATTCAAAATCATTAACTCATTCTAAAATGATTTCGAAATGTAAAATTATCATAAGTCGGTATAACAGATTCCGAATACATTTTAATGGAAGATAGCAGTCCATTTCATTAATTACAGTTAATGATTGCTTCATTAATTTCATCACAATCTGACGCAGCTTCCATTTGAATAATTTGTATTGGTTACTTCAATTTTTCGACCAGTTCGTTTGCAACAATCGTTGTGATCATGATTTTAACTTCATTCACCATTTTGCCCAGTTGTCTAACTAAGAATAATCATTCGACAATGCTCAGAACATTCTTAGCTCCACCCACTAAGCCATTCAGAATTCTAACTTTGGTGTTCTGCATTACTGAACATGGCCCAGGAGAAACTATAAGCATTTTTAACAGCATGATAGGACATATTTTGAGGGAATAATAGACAAAAAAATGTAAGCAGAGACTAAGAATGAAGTACTGGAATAAAATGAAAGGCAGAACACCTTAGAGCAAGATTAACACTAAATAGAAGTGAATGGTGGACTTGATACTACCCACCAACTGGGTTGAGGAGAGAAGAAGAGAGAATATTAAAAATATTCAATCTAACATAGAATGTAATATTGTTATTAAAAACATCTTTTCAAAACAAATTTTATAAGATTATTTTCTCTTAAAATGTTTTTTAAAATATTTTTCAATATTTCATAAAGAAATTTTTCTGAAATTTTACAAAAGTCTAATTTTGTTTAGCTTACATACCATACCATACCATACCATAGTAAAATAACATCTAATTTATAAAAGACATAGAGGCCTCTTGATAGAGGTTAGTAGCATAAATATGATTTTACAAAATATTCTTAAAAAGCAATGTAAATATATTTTATTTAATTGTATCACTATATTAAATTACAAAAAGCTATTAAAGTAGCATTATTTTAATTTATTTCTTTATATTTTAAATATGTTCTGTTAAAATACAGAGTTTACTAAAATAAAAAAATTAATAAGTAAAATATTTTTTTAACAGAGTATTTTTAAAACCTTCAATAATCTGGGGGATGTTGGTCATCTTGTTATTAAAGGTAAATAGTGTTATAGTTGGTGTTTAATATTATTATATATTATGCATTAATTAATAAAATATTTGAGCTATAATTTTTATAAAAAGAAATACAGCAATACTGGAAAATGATACAGTAAAATTAACTTTTGATTAAACTTGTTTTGTGAACAGATGATAACTGAAGTAATCATTTTTAACCTTTATTTTTTTTAATTTAGAGTTTTATTTATTTAATATATGTTTTACTTGACTAGTTCCATTTAAATTATAATCTTGTATTCATTATAAAAGAAAACAAGATAATTTTTATAAATACTTTTCCATTTAAACTAGAATAATTTTGTTTTTGTAGTGCTTAAGTTGCATAAAAATAGAAAGCTCTAAAATTAAATGAATAATCCAGTTTAAAGAAATTATTGTTTAATTTTTTTTTTCTTCTCATTTCTTGACGTACTGAACTGTGTTTATTGTTTGTTATTAATTTTTGAAATTTTGATCATTTTCTTTTGATTTAAAAATAATAGTTCTTACTTCTAAGAACTATTATTTTTAAATCAAAAGTTTTGATCAATTTGTTAATGAAAGTAATCACTTTATGAAAAAGGAAGATACATAATATAAATAATAATTCAATATTTTATTTGTAATATTTGATAACGTCTATGGAATTTATTCTGTGATATTAATTAAGATATTAGAATAAATTTTATATTGAGTCAAGTCCACTTAAGAAATCAATCTCAGGATAATTGCTCTTTTATCTTGATTGTTCCTTTATCCATAGTAACAAGAGATCATCCAGGGAGTTGGTTTTTCTTGGCATTTGAATCTCTTCACTCCTGCATGTCTTAAGAGCTCTATATAACTTACAACACATTTATAAACATTAAAATTCATTACATGATTTTACTGTACTTATTGATTTCTATTCTTATAACATCAATTGTATCATTTTATGAAATAATCAGTAGTATTGTGTACTTACCAGTCATGCACTTCCTGGAGATATAGTAGGAGGCCTAGCTGAAAAGATGTGAATACTCTTGCTCCAAAATTTCTAAATGCCCTCTAATGTGACATATAAAAACAAATAATTGCAGTACTGCAAGAATAAAGTTCTATCAAATTTTATTACGATAAGTTAATAATGTGGAAGATGTAAATAAATATGGAAGTGTGCTGTCAGATATGGACATATGTTGTTGTACTGTACCCATTCATGCAACAAACAACCTAAATAAATTTACTTAAAGTTTATAATTTTCTTATGGATATGATTACTCACAGCTTTCTTTTCAATCATTTCCTCTCATTTGTAAAATGCATTATAGTTGATAAAATTTTCTTCTAAATATTTTCTCACCATTCTTAATTAAGTAAAACAATGCATCTTTATGAGAAAGAAGTATTACTGATTCGCAAACATTTTCTATTTTATCTTTGTCTTATTCAACTTCTTCATCTTCCTCTAATCATTTTTCTTTTAATCATACTGCATATTTCAACAAACTCAACAAATACTGTAGTTTAGCCCTCGGTGATGTACTGTAAGATTAAATATAAATCTTTCTTAGAATAATGCTCCCTTATGTGGACTTCTGCTTTAAAAATGCTACTAACACTTGATCATTTAAATGGACTGCTCTGTTAGCTATGCTCTATTAACAGGAGTCCCACTATTGTAAAACAGTAACTAAACCACAGAGGAACTGGAAAAGAAACATAAAGATTAAACTCAACACCTTAAATTATTCCAGGAAGTAGTATTATAATGCACAAAAACATTTTTAACCCAGTTTATGGATTTTTATCAGTTGTGAAATTCATAAACTGAGTTGAAAACATTTTTGTGCATTAAAATACTACTTCCTGGAGAAATTTAAGATATTGAGTTTTATCTTTGTAAAACAGTGGAGAAAATAAAAACTTAGAAGAGTGCTCTCTTATTCAATGCCCTGTTACGTAGACTTGACTATATGTGTATATATATATATCTTATAAAGAACATTAGTTATTTGTTTTATTTCAATTGCAATTGAGAAATTATAGATTATTGGAAATTATATAATTCAATACAAATGGGTTTGCTGATATTTAAATTTGAATTTCAAACAATTAGCTAACATGCCATTACATATATATTAATATATTGATCCAAACCTCTCTAATATAATTTTTAATAAAAAATAAAATACTATAAAAAAATTATTATAACAAATTTTGTAATAATATAATAAAATATGAACTTTTTTTCAGTCTTCAAAGCACAAGGATTAGCATCTGCAGATATTGGAGGTAAAAGTGATCCCTTTTGTGTTGTAGAATTAGTAAATGCAAGGCTTCAAACTCACACAGAATATAAAACACTCACTCCTGAATGGAATAAAATTTTTGTTTTGTAAGTATTTATTATAACATAACTAACTGAATTTTCTTAATATGAAGAATATATTTTTAAACTCAAAATTATTTTGTTTCATTATTTGATTAATATTTTTTGTTATAAAAATTATTAATTACTAAAATAGTTTAACAATGATTTTAACAATAATTAATACTTAGAATAAAGATTTTATAACCATTAATTTTATGGTTTTCATTTTCTAACTTATGAAATCATATTGCCAAAAATATATTGTTAAATTCTCAAAATCAAATAATTATATGCTAACTCAAGAAATATTTTGAAAGCTGGACCTTTTTTTATCCAATAAAACAGCAAACATTTTCAGCCTTCTTCAGAGACCTGTGTGAGGCTTACACAAAAGAAACATAAATGCAAACTGAGAATTCCAAATTCTCAGTTTGCATTTAAGTTTCTTTTGAGTTTTAATTTGAATTCTTTCTTTTTGAATTCCTTTTGAAACTGAGAATTTCAAATTCTCAGTTTGCTTATTACTAATAAAGATTATATACTAATTTATATGCTAATAGTGATTTTTAAGTCAACAAAAATAAAACGTTAAAAACTAAACTAAGAATATCTCCTCTAACTTTAAAAATTTTGGTGAATAACAAATGGATTTACAGTCGACCCCCTATTACACTGTTGATTTTTCTGTTTTATAAGAATTCCATGTTGTACGAGTCACTTAGATTTTACAAATACGTGTGCTGGGCTGTGAGCAGCTCACATATTTGTAAAATCTAAGTGACTCATACAACACAGAATTCTTATAAAATGGAATTATCAATAGTGTTATGGGGGGTCGACTGTATATGTATGCAACACACAATGTAATTTTAAACTTCTGTATGTTGTAAATAATTCCCTTTTCTATATATATTTTTTGATAATTCTGTTTAGCTTTTGTATTTATAGTAATTTTTTCAAATTCCTATAAAACTCAATATGAAAAGAATTTATTATTGTTAAAAAGTTTAGTTTAAATAAACACAATTAGTTTCCTTGATGAAAGATGTTTATTTGATGCAAAACCATAAAATTAGTAATTGTTTTAATCAAAGTCAAAATGTCAAGTGTAATTGAGCAAAGAATGTACATTAAATTTTGTTTCTGCAATGGAATTACTGCTAAAATGTTGGAAATGTCACAAAAAACCCTTGGTAAGAATAGTCTATCAAAAGAAAGAGTTTTGAAGTGGTACTATATGTTCAAGGAATGCAGAGAATACATTGAAGATGAACCTCACTCTGGTAGACCATCCACTTCAACTTATGACCAACATGTTGCTCAAGTCATATATTGGTGCTCAATGATCATCGTTTAACAATTAGGAGTGTGGCTGCCAGGAGTGGCAACCTTGAGCAATAAAATGCTCTTGTTGTTCATGAATTTTTGGCCAAAAATTCAACAAATACAGTTCCACAATCTCTGTATTCACCTGATATGGCACTGTGTGACTTTTTTCTGTTCCCTCAACTAAAATTTCCACTTCATGGTCACTGTTTTGAGTCAATTGATGCCATAAAATAAAATTTGCTGAGTACTGAAGGAGTTTCATGAAAATGACTTTAAAGAATGTTTTGAGGATTGGAAAAAACATTGCATAAGTGCATTGCATTGGGAGGGGATTAATTTGAAGGGGACGAAATAAATTTTGATGAATAAATTCAAATTTTGCATTTTATTGAACCATTTCTTATACTTTTTGATTACAGAGGTATTATATTAAAATTGATAACAAAGACATGTGTCATCTAATTACTAAAATAGCTAAATAAATACAAATAGTAAATATCATAATTTGTTGTTGATTTAATATAAGTTATTTTGAATTTTGTTATATATGCAAATATATAATGAAATATAATCTTTACATGAATGTTTTAAATTTTATTAAAAAAGATTTTTGTTTTAAATTTAAAGAACTGCACTGTTAGTAATCTTTATTTATTCTTCTAATTAAGACAGAACCATTTCATGACCTGATGCAATAACTTTATTTAAATTATTAAATAAAGTTATTGCATCAGGTCATGCACTAATAAATATTTTTGTTTTCTTTTGTTTGTAGCAAAATATTTGGTACAAATCCAGTGAATGGCATCTTGTACTATTAACTTTTAATAAAACAGAAATAAATGAAAATGGAAAATAATAAAGACCAGTAATAAAATTGAGGAAAAATATAGAAATTCCACTTGTGATTATTATAAATTAAATTTCAGAAATTTAAGCATTCAAATTCATAGTATTTTAGTTAAGGAATTTTTTAATCTTTGAAATTAAGTTGCCATTTTAATTTTACTTTATTTTAAAATGTGAAGCTAAAATAATATTTTGTTGATTTATTTAATTTATTTTAACAAAGGGGATTTTATTTTTATTCTTCTGTTTGCATCTATCTGAAAAATGTAAATTGACAAATAAGAAACAAAAACAGTAAACAAAATGAAAATAACAGATGAACTAGTGGCATGCCATCCATGGAAGCTGTGAAAGCACCACGTCCCTTGTATTTTCTAAAATATAAATACATATTGTGCAATTATTTTCATATTTTAACATAGTTTGAATTACTTAAAATTAATATTATATATATATACTGTATATAACTATTATAACTGCATTATGTATTTTATTACAAATTTATATATGTGTGAAAAACAATGATTGTATATTTGAACATAAATTCATATATGCATATTCCCAATGGAAGTGCTGTATTGTCGAATACAGGACAGCTTCCACAGAAAAAGTATTTGAATCATGTAAAGCAGCCAGATTATACGCATTCACGCATATGCTTTACAGAGCACCAACTGCTGGTGGTTTAGCTGGTGAATGCTACACCAAAATATCGTATAATGCTTCCAATGATTCCATCCATTAGCTGGTGGACGCTACGCCAAAATGTTGTATAATGCTTCCAATGATTCCATCCAGTAGTCACTCGTAAGGAGCCATTTGACTAAGAGAATAGTTTTAAGATTTAAAAAGTAAAGAATATTCAAAGTTGTTTTAATGTATGTTTCTTTACAAAGTTATATTTAATTATAATTATATTGACAGATTTTCAGACATAAAAGCTTTAAAATTTTTATCACTTTCATACGTTAATAATATTTTAAATATGAAAAACAATTTTCCGAAGTGAGTTTTAATTCTTTAAGTAAATTTAATGGAGAATTTTTTTGATTTATCTAAATTACATAGTGAATTGCAATATTTATATTCATGTCCAGACTATATTGGTAAATCACTCTTAGACATAAAAAATATTATAATTAATGACGATCTGAACAAAGATGTACTAAAAGAATTATATGATTTAATATCATTAACTTTTATGGTACAGTACCATCTATGAGTGCGTCTGTTGAGCAGTTTTTCAATCACGAAGCAAACTGATACATTCACAAGGAACACTCAATCAGAGGAAAGATTGTCATCACTAGCATTACTTTCAATAGAAAAAGAGCTTTTAAGTACTTTGATGGAATCAACAACATGTGCCTTACGTCTTTTCTTGCCCCCTCGCCACGTGGTGGGTCCAACTCGGTGGAGGGGAGTTATGTAATTCTGGGGTGTGTAACCATGGATGGGAGTTTTATGGTAGGGTGTGCCTCGGAGGAGAAGAGCAGAATGGAAGTGGACAGAGAATGGTGAAGTAGGAAAGTAAGAGTGGTGGTGAAAGTGTGTAAAGAAAAAGAAAAAAAGACTGTGCAAGTCCGTGTGAGATTTCAGAATTTGGAACTGTTTTCTACCCAGAGTGAAGGAGAGGAAAGGATATGACAAAACCCCATTTCTGTCGGTATGTTTCTATGTATTCATGTTACGTGTGCTTGATCAGTTTATTATCAGGAGATTTTTGTTAACGTTATGCGATATAGTAGATTTGTCGGACTCATTATTTTTCCTGTGTCTCATCTTTGTTTTAGGAGTGCTGTATGCTCCCAAGTATATTAAAGGAATATTTTGTAGAATTTGATAGTTGTCTTTGTCCAGTCCCCATCGAGTCCAGTGGATTTCCCCTGATAAGCATCTGCTTCACCAAGCACGCTTGTTATAAATTCTCCCCCTGTAGAAGCACTTACGTTTTATCGTGTTGATTCATTCTCACAATAGTCTACCCTCACAGACAAGTGATTTTTATGATAAAGTAATTAATGACTGCGGAAAAAAATCATTGAATAGAGTTAGTTTATAAAAAATAATAAAAGCAAGTTCTTATATCTTTGTTTCATGTTAATTATCTATTTTTGAATTAAAATAAATAAACTGTTTATTTTTGTCATTTTCAGTATTTGTTTAAAATTTTTATGGAAACACAGCTTCCCTATCATCAAATGTCACAGCACACCACTGAGATGAATTATCAGTTATTTTCATTTTGTTCACTGTAGTTCACTGCTTTTATTCTTACACGATAATTTATATTTTCCACTGCATTCTTCAATTAGCTTTATCAATCAAACTTAAATTTTTGGACTTTGTTGTCAATAAAGCAATTGCAGTTAAATTGGTTAATTTTAAATTATATTATAGAAAAATATATGAACTAAATATTAAATATATAATTTTTCAAATAGGAAATCATTAATTATTATTATACATCTTGAATTTTGTTGTATAGTAATATAGTCAGTAAGATTAATATACATATATATAAAATAATATATTAATAATAA